ATAATACATAATTCCAACTCTACTATTCTATGATTGTATGATTCTAGTAGTTTGAGATGAATGCCATGTTGAGGGGGAAGATGTTTTCAGAAAAGCATCAATGGTGCATGTTTCATCTTTTCTGAGTTTCTGTGTAGAGTCCAAAATGGAGCTTGCATGTCTTCAGCATCACCCAACAGTGAAATGCACAATTCCAGTTTTCCACTGGAATGCATACATCTCGGGACGGAGAAAGGATATTACAAAGTCATTTGGAGAACAGAAAATATCTCATAGTCCCTGTTCCCCTATACTTGGTAAAGTTTGAAATCACCCACATGTACCCAGTTCAAGTTATCACATTTATTAGTCTCCAAATCATGGTTTGCTGATCAGAGACAAGCATCTGTTTCCTCCTCCCCCATCACATAACGATTTATCTCAACTGGCCCTTGCCATGCTTTTTCATAATCTAGACTTACTGTTACCCCAAAATGGACTTAGGCAGAGTTAATAAGGATGGCTTCAAAGCCATTGTTTGAATGCATTATTTGAGGCAAGTTTGGAAACCATGGATTTGAGCAATCCTGGTTAGATCTCTCCATAATGAATTCCAGTTTGGATGCAAAGCATCGATAGTTACAGTAAACTATAGAAGACAGAATGTCTTCCTTCTAAAAGAAGGAAGTGGGAAGCATTCAGGCATGTCCTGTGGTTTGGAGCGACATTTCACCCAGACTATGGTTGGTTCATGTTAATCCTTTAAATAACTATTTAACCTGCTAGTAATTTCACTAGTTCTCAACTACCCTTCTTCCTGAGAAAAGAAGAGAAATTACAACCCATGCTGGCATTTAAACAACACCACAACTGTAACAGCAAGAAGCAAACCTTCATTTGAGTTTCTTCCCCTTGTAGGAAAATGAGTTTAAATAATGCATGGTGTTCTAAGCAAGTGTTATTGGAGCAAACATCATTTGTCAAGAATAAAGTACATCCCATACTCAGTCACAATTTGCAGTGTGGGCAGCAAGGCAGGGGCTCTTACTTATTTACCAAGCTGAAATGTTAACAGGATACTACAGGGGCAGGGAGAGAGGACGACAAGAAATGCAACGGTGCTGAAAGCTCTCAGAGATGCAATGTTCTTGCTTTGATCATTGGCATCATAAACCAGATACGGTGAATCTGTGACTTCATAAATAGTTGCCTCTGCTGTAATTCTTTATGCTGAATCTTGAAGGCAAAGTTCCAGATCTGATTGAAAAGCATGGGTAATGGCCCTTAAGGCAAAACTAACTAATTAACTCTAAATGAAAGCTTAAACACACACACACACACACACACACACACACACACACACACACACACACACGGAATGAGTTTGATAATAAAATAGAAGCTGTATTACTTCTTACAAGGAAATGTATAAAGGCCTTTGATAATGTTATCATAGTTAATATTTGGATAATCAACCTTCTCCAACCTGGTGACCACCAGATATTCTGGACTAGTTCTCACTAATGGCTAGGAATCCTGGGCCAAAATATAAGGGGGAATGGACACAACAGGTTAGGAAAAGACATTTTGTCTTAAGTTCTTCTTTATTTGTTTTTCCTTTTATTTTCAACTATACTGTAATTTTTTAAAACATTTCAATACCATCCTTCATTACAAAATCACAGAGTGGTGTCCAAAATTCATTAAAACAACAATTACCATAAAGTACAACATTAAAACAGAAAGATCTACTGAACTAGGAAGTGAAATTCAGCAAATACCTAGATAAACAGATGGGATTTTAGCAAGTTCCAAGATAGCTGCTTAACATATTGCAGGGTGGACAAAATTCCAAAGCCGGAGAGTGCCACAGTTGAAAAGTCATCTGGTTGCTTTCAAATGCACATGTGCAGATGAAAGAACAAGCAGGAAGCCTTGTCAGTGAAGAGGGAAGTCAGTATGGGAGAAGGTGCCTTTTCAGTTAGCCTGGTCCCAAGGTGTTTAAGGCCTTTTATACTACCGGTCTCTGAGCAAAGGTGTAACAAGCTTGGGGTAGTCTGCCCCACTCAGCAACCTAACTATCAGGTTCTGCACCGATCACCATCTCTGGACCAGTCTCAGGCAAAGCCCAAGAGAGAATGTACTCAGCAATGCAGTCTTGAGGCTACTGATAGATGCATCACTGTGGCCAGAGGATCCTGATTCAAAACTGGCCAAAGCTGGTAAAACACAGTGTTCTCCAGCCCAGCTCTTCAAGATCCTTTTTGCTGGAGGTGTCAAAGATGTATCCTAGAGCCTTACGGATGCCCACTACGTGCTCTATCTCGAAGCTATGGCGTATCCCCAGAGAAAGTTTCTTACTGAGCAGATTAAAAATGTAATACATAGTTCAAATATATTTAACAAATATGGGATTGCAAAGGAGACTATTAGGGTGGTATACGTAAGAAGCTTTGAGTGACTTCCTGCTCTTATCAGGTCATAGTTTCATAATAAAGGATTGCAACATGCCCAGCTGGCCACCTTCACTTCCAGAGGGCCTCAGGACAATGGCCTGTGCACATACGAACCACAGGCTGGTTCATCTCCTCCAGAATTCTGTTCAAGTGAAGGCCAACCAGATGACTATGGGAAAGCCACAAAAAAGACAGAGGGTAACATCACCTCCTCACCCATGTTCCCCAGCAACTTGCTTACATAGGCATGCTGGCCCTGATACTGGAACCACCAGGATCATAACCATCAGGGCTAGCTGCCCCTGACAGCCTTCTCCTCCTGAATTTGTCTTTTTTAAATAGTCCAACTTGGATCCAACAACTACATCCTGAGGTAGATAACTCCATAGTTTAACTACAGGCTGAACGAAGATGTACTTCCTTAAGTCTCCTAATCACAAGTGGTTGGTGGAATAGGACTCAGCCTGTTGTCCCGGTTTACCTTCTAAAGGTGTAGAAGAAAATCGAAATGGTTATAAAACGTTGCCCCTCCATTCAAACAACATGTTTCATGTACACACACTGGCCCTATGATACAAATCAAAGGCGCTCAAAACACTATTGCTATAGAATTTGCACACTGCATCTTGATACCTCTAAAAAGCCTCTCTCACACAATCCCACTCCGAGTTAGTATGCATAAACCCAGACAACGGAGAGGTGCGCTTGTTCTTGCTGATTCACTTTTGTTGCTCTGACTTGATAATTTGCATACCCAAGAACTTTGAGAGCCTTTGCCTAGAATAAGCCTTAAAAGATAAAGCCATCCTTTGGGAGAAATTTTAGGAACAGCCAACCTCAGAAGGAGGTGTGGGCTGATATGTGTCACACTTTTAATTAGAATTTCAGTCCTGATTTTAAATTGCATTTCCAGAGATGATATTCTCCAGGGGGATGGTGAAATAAATGCTTAGAAAAAGGTACTGTAAGCTGCTGTGTCTGTTTCATATCAGTATGTATCCCAATTTGAAAAAAGCATCTTTGTACCTAAGATCTCCTCCTCCTCCTCCATGGAGGAATACATTAGACAGCATCTGAGCTGAAACGATCCACTTGCTGGCCCCATCCCACTGCTCATCTCCTATACTTCTGATTACTGTAAAATGTGTTGGTACGTTAACGTCTCTACCATATTTTATCTACAGAACAGCCCTGTTGATATGCTATGATGAAAGGTAACTTGCTGACCGGAGCCACTAGATCTGGGATCTCTAGTGCATAACTGCCCTTGGTGGTACTGTTTGGAACATGCCCCAAGTAAGAGCCTCCAGGTTCTGAATTGGCTCTGCAACAATTTCGGGACATAGACCTTGGTGCCAGTTTCTGGTTTCTGGCCTGTGACCTGGCTCCTGGTTCCATCCTGAGAGCAGTGGAAACTTGTCCACTGTCACCTGTGGAGCTATCGGGAGTCTGAATCTGAGTCTTCCATGTTTGAACTAAACAGTCCTAATATTGGTTGAAGTTTTCCTTTTCTTGTGCAAATGTAGCAGAAACTGCACCATTCATACCCATGGAAAAGGTATCGGCTAACTCAGGATAACCCGTAAAGTTTGAACAGGTATGAGAAGCTCACTGGAGGACATACCAAAACATAAAATCTTTGAAGGCTGACAGGCTGAGGCAGGGCTCGGGGGCACTCGGAGAACTGAGCAGGAGTGATCATGGAATGAAGTGAACAGAGGGGTATGAAAATCATGAAGGAGAACATACAGAATGGAGCAGTGGGACAAAAAGGAGGAAGAAAGAGTCATACAGAGATAAAAAGGACTAGTTAGAACGAACTTACAGTCTAGCTTCCTAGTTCACACTGAGAAGCTATTCAGAATGTTGCCATGAACACAAGAAAGCATTGTGCTTTGGCATCAATGGGGAAGTCAAGTATTTTAATATATCTGGGACTGAGGGAGTGTGTTTTTGCCTCAAGATCAAGGAAGCACCAAAACAGACCAGTAAGAACCAAGTATGCCCAATAGTATAGAATGCTGACTGGGACATGCTGGGAGTTGTAGGACTTTTTAATTTCTAAACATTCATAGTAATTCTAGATGACTTTTACTTAGGCAAATACTCTGGAATAACTGACTTAAGATTGATCCAAATTTACTTATCAGAGGAGTTACAGGGCTCATAGAGTGACTCAAGCACCTTCAGGTTTCATGGGGGGAGTAATTTGTCGCATAGGGCACCTGTATGTGGGAACCGCACATATGCAAAAGATACTACATCTGAAAGAAAGCCAAGCTAGCAGCCTGGTCGACATTATTCATTTTAATTACTTAATTAATTAATTTCTATAGAGCCCAACAGCTGAAGCTGTCTGGGCAGTTCACAGCAGCACATTTAAAATACAATTAAAATACACCATATTAAAACAGATTAAAATATCATAAAAGGTTTACAATACAAAATTTAAAAGCATATATATGTATGTATAAATAACTTGAAGACACTCTTAAGACTTGTTAAGCACAGTTAACAGACCCCACTAGACTACTTGAATGTCCTGCTGTAGAGGACAGTCCTTACCTGGCACTGAAAAGATGGTAAAGTTGGCATCAAGTGGGACTCAGGGGGGAGTTTGTTCCATAACTGGGAGGCCACCACTGAAAAGGCCCTTCTTCGTTCTTCAGAGGTGGCAGTAGATGGTAGGCCCTAAAGCAGAATCCTAGTGTCCATGTAAATGAAGGCTGGCAGCAGTGGTGTAGAGGCAAATTTAGAAGTGGGGGGTTCCTTCATGATAGTCAGAGCCATACCTGAAAGCCACACCTATTTCCAAGATGATGCAATAAAAATGAGCTTTGTCACCCTGTTGAATAATGAATGCAAGATGAGGGTATCTGTCTTTGAGGTGAAACAATGACAGCTTCTAGAAGTTATTTCTTTTCTTATTTACTGTGAATGAAAGATTTTTAAAATTAGTGTGGTGTAGTGGTTAAGAGCATGGGATCGGGACTCAGGCAATCTGGGTTCTAGTCCCAGCTCAGCCATGGAGCCAACTGGGTGACTTTGGGCCAGTCACAGACTCTCAGCCCAACCTACCTCACAGGGTTGTTGCTGTGGGGATAAGATGGAGGAGGAGAGATGATGTAAGCTGCCTTGAGCCCTTTGTAGGAAAAAGGCAGGATATAAATTGAAAAATAAATAAATAAATAAATAAATTACCCCAGTCTCCAGCCAAAAAGATTCCAGGGTGGCTTACATGGAATTAATAAGGCAGTTCCTGTCCACAGGCTTGCTATCTAAAAACATGACATACAAGGGGAAGTGGATGGGGGTGTTGGGGGGGGGGAGCAAACAGGCACAAAAGACCTTTTTATTTAAACATCATTTTAATTGTTAAAATATATGATCCGGCCAGGGCAACTTCTTCTTCCTTCTCTTTTCTCCTCCTATATTATTTATTTACTTATTTTATACTGATAATTTTAATTTTATATTATTATGTTTGTAACTCAATGTATTTTTTGTATTTTTGTATTTAATGGTAATTTATTATGTGCTATTGTATTTCAATGTATTTTATTGTGTTGTAAGCCGCCCCGAGGCTTCGGCAAGGGGCGGCATAGAAAAGTAATAATAATAATAATACAGAAACATTGAGGAATCATTATAGGCATCAGGAAAAACATCATGACCCAGTGAAGGCTTGGGTAACAGATAAAACAATCAGGAGTTACAAAAGTCTAACAGGTTTTAAATGTTGCGGCTTTTGCAATCAGAGATACAGAATTCCTTAAGACAGAATTCCTTAAGAATTCCTTAAGTCACATGGAGATGGGTAGAGACCTGTTCTCCCCTGCAGAGGAAGGCAGGACGTGCTCCAACAGAGCAAAGCTCAGGGAGCCAAGGTTCCGTTTGGATGCCAGGAAGCACTTCCTGACAGTTGGGACCCCGAGGGTGTGGAATGGGCTTCCATGAGAGGTCGTTGAGGCCCCATCGGTGAGGGTGTTCAAAGATAGGCTGGACATGCACATGGTGGGCATGTCGTGAGCGGAGCCGGCTGGTGCCGGAGGTCAGACTAGATGGCCCGGGAGACCCCTTCTGACTCGCTCTGTTTTCTATGTTTCTAAATGAGCCAGGCGATTCCCGGATGGCTTGTCTGATTCTGTGAGGAAATGCATTAATAATGGGGCCCCCCCACCCTGCTGCCTCCACTACCCCCGCCAGGATGCCTGCTTTTCCCAGGCGTGTGGAGTTGGGCAAAGTGCGAGTCCCTTTGAGTAGAGAGGAGCAGGGGCACTGCTGCCAGATTTTATATTAAAGGATGTGCAAAGGCATATTTTTTATGTTAGGATTTATTTGGACTTTCCCAACAGAAGCATACTGGCAGCCAGTGCAAGCAGGCCAGAAATGCAGCTATATGATCAAACCGTCTGGTCCCTCTTATTAGTCTGACCGCCCCATTTTGCACAAGCTGTAGCTTCTGGACAGTCTCCAAGGGCTTCCCATGTAGAGTGCAGTAATCTAGTTTAGAGAGTACCAGCTCACAGATCACTAATAGCAGGCTATCTCTGTCCAGATAGGGGCATAACTGAGCCACCAGCCAAAGCTGGTAGAAGGCAGTCTGAGCCACTGAAGCCACCTAGGCCTCGTGACAAAGATGGCTCAAGGGGTGCCCCCAAGCTACAAACCTGCTCCTTCAAGGGGAGTGCAACCCCATCTCCAACAGATTGAATTCCCTCCATCCAGTCAGAAGAACATCCCCTGATAGCATCTCAGTCTGTTTCTACCTGGGAGGTCATTTTCATATGAACTGCATCAAGGAATAATTTTGCACATGAAAACTGAGGTGGCATGTCGCCACATTTTATTTATTTGTTTTTTGATTTATATCCTGCCTTTTTCCTACAAAGGGCTCAAGGCAGCTTACATCATTCTCCTCCTCCATCTTATCCCCACAACAACAACCCTGTGAGGTAGGCTGGGCTGAGAGTCTGTGACTGGCTCCAGGTTTGGGAGGCCCTTGGCCAGGCACCTTCAATGGGCCCCTCACTTGGCGAGTTGACCTTCCCACAGCCATTGTCCCCAGCTGTTCCTCCTCCGCCGCCTCCTCCTGGTCAGCTCCACCACTGGGGTTTTGACTGGCAGGAACCAAGACAGAAGGTAGGCAATGGCATCTACTCTTCCTAGAAGAATGAGTAGGCCATAAAAAGAGGAGGAGTAAGTCCAGAGGCCTCTTGTCAGTGGACCCCTGCCAGGGTGTGGACCCTTGGCAGGTACCTAACCATGCTGACCCTTGGCGTCTGCCTTGTGCAATCAATGTGAAGGCTTCTAGCACACTCTAGCAGCACCCTTGAAGAGACCCTGAGCTAAGCCCTGTCTGCAGTCTCAAGGCAGGAGCCTCCTTCTATGAACACACATCTGAAGACCATCAAGCACAGTTAGGGCCCACGGAAATTAACCGTATTAGGCGCTTGCCCTTCCATTTCATGGCCTGCGCTGGGGGCCAAATGGGTGTAACTTTCTATGGACTGTGCCCAACCTCTTCTGGGAGTGGAGAGGGTACAAGATCTGCCCCGTTCATCCTACTTTTGCCTTCATGACTGAGAGGCAGAGCCAGCTGAAGAGGCACAAGAGAGCTGGCGAGAGAGAGAGAGAGAGACAGAGAGAGAGACAAGGGCAAGGAGAAAGACCTGAGCCAAGGCTTCTCTGCCAAATGGTCCTTACATAACTCCAAATGCAGACGAATGAGGTCAGAGAAATGTACAGGGACTTCGTCCCTTGGCCAGGCCAAGAGCCTTTTCCAGCTCTGAGTGTGGTGATGAGCATTACAGAGGAGCTGCAACAAGCATGTCCCAGGCAAGGTGGTGAAAAATAAATAATTGTTCTCCTGCAAGGTAATAACTTGGTAACCAAGGGATAATGAGAAGCCTGGGCTATAATTGAGCCTAAGTAGCTATTGCGATGCAATGACTGGGAACTGAGTCTCATTACAAGAAGCTGCATGTTCGGTGCTCCTGAAGCCTGGCTGAGAACATGCACTAACAATGATGTATTTATGCTGCTTCATATTCCTGCCGAAGTCATTTAATTCATATAGATGGAGGAGGCCCAGGGGAGGACTTGACCTTGAAGCTTGGCCTGGTAAGTACTCTCCATCTGAATGAATAGAATGACACCTTTCTCTTCCTCTAAGACCAAGCTTCTCTCATCTGAGAAGGGACAGCCAGATCTCAGCTTGCCATTGACCTAATTGTCTGACAAGAGTTAAGGCAGGGGATAAGCAGGCGTTTGTTGTCCTGCTCCAAGGACAACTGGTGCCATGGCCTCCCCGGAGGACTATTCGCCGGAGGAATACGAATAGGGAGAGAGCCAGCACGGAAGGCCCCAGCCAGAGCCAGGCTGTGGAGTTGATGCCGTAGCTGACAGCCTTCAGTCAGAAGAGCATCTTGGGCCTTCCTGGGCTGTTCTTCCAATAGAAGGCTGTCAGATGCAGCATCGACCTCACTGCCTGGTCTTCTAATGGCAAGCAGCACCACCACTGGGCCATAGGAAGCAGCCACCCACAGCTACAGTGCTGGGACCAGAGGTGTTGGACAGGAACAGAGGTCTTAGCAGAATGCAAGGGGACCAGATGCAAAGGCAAAGTCCAGAGACAAGCTGAGGTCACACACCAGCAAGGCAAAACAGAGGCAGGAGCAAGGCGCGCTCAGGCACAGGCCAGGTGCCTGGGAAGGCTGGGTCAGACCAAAGGCAATGGCAGAGGTGGGAGCAGGCAGGAGTCAAGGCACTGCCAAAGGCAAGGCTGGAAGCAGGATAAGTAACACAACACTATAAGCACAAACGCCCAGTTGCTGTGGCCAAGCTGAGGAGGACACGGAAGCCTTTTGCAGAACCCTCCCAGAGCGCCCAACTGCTCTGGATGATTGCACAAGCCCCAAACAACCCTGCTTAAACAATCCTTGCATAACCCATGGTCTGCTGTAGGCTTATATGAGGATCACGTAACAGACAATGGCCAAGTTCACACAACATGACACTTACCATTTCAATCTGCGGAATGGCACGCCTGTGCACTGCAGCTCATCTTGGGTTAAATGACCCACAGTGAGCTGTAGCACGTCATGCAAAGCCCGTCACTGATCCTCTGTGGTTCTAAACAGCCCAGTTAGACAGACCACTGCATTGACAGGGATTCCACCCTGCCACACAGAGAGAGGAAACCGACAGCAGAGCTCACTCCATCTTCTTGGTGGGACCAGGAAAACGCTCATCCTCTCTCCAGTCACTTGGTCATTATATAACTGGAAAGTTTTGGTACTTGCAATATTCCCCTCTTCCTTCCCCCTTCCTCCCCTCTCCCCCCTTTTCTAGCCCTTGGCTGCCTGGCTGTGGTCCTTTGCACCAACTGCAGCTTCCAAACACTTTCAGTGCAGGTCCCGTACAGAGCGCACTGCTGTGATCTAACCTACTTGCCACGCGCATCTATGGTCAGCTTCTGTGCTTCCAGTCAAATGGGCTAGCCATTTCTACAAGTGATAGCCGAGTTTGGGCACTCATTCATAGCAGAGTGTGGGCACCTGGATCTAACTGGCCCTACCAACTGTGGGGTCGGATCCAAAGTCCCTGGCTGACTATACCAACAGGACCTCCGTCTTCCCTGCATCTGAATGGCTGAGCTAAGAGAGAGGAAGAGCTGGCAGTCAGATCCTCTGCATGCAAACGCCTCAGGTTCCCGAAGAAGGAACAGCAGGATCAGTCCGGCCCTACCATTGATTGATTGATTGATTGACTGACTGATTGATTGCATTTGTATGCCACCCCATAGCCAGAAGGCTCTCTGGGCGACTCACAGCACAGTCATAACAATGATACAAATAAAA